ATGACATATACATAGATGTAAATACACATAAATTTTTTAGAAATAATTCTTTTAAAAGAGGGCATCATTATAAATTGTTAATGAGAATATAAATTAATACATCCACTAAAAAATGATGTAATGTCATAAAAATTTTTAAAACATACTGGATTTGTAGCACAATAAATTTATATTTACCTAACATATATAAGACCCTGAGCTTAGTCCTCAATAATACAAAACAAAAAGAGAAGGGCACAGAGTGTAAGTTGAAAAACAAGAAAAGAGAAAAGTTAGGAAAGACTAAAGAATAACTATCATGTGATAGAAAAATTCTCTCCTTCACGGTATATATATCCTGAAGAAATGACACTATCAAGTCAAAATTATCTTTTTTCATTTTTATTATACCATTATCTGTAAACATTGTATGTGAACAATCTGCCTTCATTGATAGATGCATGCATAACATGCATTCATACATACATACATACATACATACATACATACATGCATACATACAAGCACCCCAGACTATTCTGTGACCCTAAAGAAGGAATTCTGTATTTTGTGATTACATGTACAAGCCTGGAAGTCATCATGGTAAGTGAAAATAAAGTCATGGAAACAGTTACTGAAAGGTCTCAGTGGAAATGAAACATAAAGAAGCCAGGAAGAGAAGGTCGAAAAGCTGTAAGAGTCTGAGGTGGTGGATGACCCCAGGACCACAAACAACAGGGATGAACAGGGATGGTGCACAGTAGAACTCACAGAGACTGTGATAGTATGCACAAGACCTGCACAAGTTCAAGCCAGGCAAATTCCCAGCACTGAGAAGAGAAGCAGACAAGATTCTGCACCTAATCAAGAAGCTATTTTGAATGCATACCTGCTGGAAGAGTCTTAGTTTTGTCCAATGGAGATGTCAGCTGTACTCCAAGGTAGGCTCCATACTCAGGAAAAGTTGGCCAGCGCAAAAGGCACTCATTTTTGTGTGCTTTGTGTGTTTAGTTGTTTGGTTGGTTGGTTGGTTGGTTGGTTGGGTGAGTGGGTGGTTGGGTGGTTTGTTGGGTTTTTTTTTTACTTACTTTTGTTTTGGTGTTATTTTTTTTTTGTCTTTTCAAGTCATTTGTTTTGATTTTCAGATTATTTGAGAGAGAGAACACCAAGTTGGGCAGGTAGTATTTTGGGAAGAATCTGGGAAGAATTGGGGGAGGGGGAAGAGCATAATCAAAATATAATTATGAAAAAAATTAAGCAAATAAATACCAAAAAAGCTACATTCATAGAAGAAGAAAATACAATGGTGTAATATAAGCAAGTTAGGTGGGGTCAGAAGGGGAACGGGAAGGAATTTGTCAAAGGAGAAAAATAGTTAAACAAGATGAGCTCCTGGAGATTTCTTATACAGCATGGTGACTGTGGTTAAAATCAGCTCTATGTCACATACTTGAATACTGCCAATATTTTCAATGTTATTATCACAAATAGGTATGTGAGGTGAATGATACTTAGCTCTCTTTAATCAAACAATGTTACCATGTATTAAAACATCTCATTAAACACCATAAATATGTATATTTATTTGATAATTAAACTTCTATAAAAGATGAAGGATAAAAGTGCTTTTATGCTTATATTTTTAGATTATGATCATACACAGAAGGTGGTGGCAGTCACGGTATAATGTTATGTTCCATGAAAACTTCTAAATTTAGTAGCCTACTTAACACAGAGATAGTCCTTGTGACATGGAGCAGTCAAAATGAAAAATATCAATTAAAACCTAAGTTCTTTCAGTTTTCTTTATAGCCTGGTTCTGCCAATTACCAAAAAAAAAATGTTCAGGTTTTTTTCAATATTGCTTCCATTCTGAAAATTACAGAGTTTATTCTGACATAAAAGCCCTTACTTCATCTTATCTCCAAGAAATGTTTGATAACTTCAAGGTTATCAAACGTTAACCATAACTATAACATCTTCCTTTATACCATTAGCATTTCTTTCATTCTTCGAGTTAACTGGATTCAAGACTTATGATCCAAATATAAGTACACCTATATATGTTTCCTTTCTCTGAAACAATGAAAAGGGAGTTCACCTGCATAGGACTGGACTAGACCCTCTGCATAAGGGAGACAGTTGTGTAGTGCGGTCTGTTTGAGGGGCCCTTGGCAAAGTGATCAGAATCTATTCCTGGTGCATGAGCTGGCTTTCTGGATCCCATTACCTATGGTCAGACACCTTCCTCACCCCTGATAAAGTGGGGAGGGTCTTAGCCCTGCCTCAACCAAATGTACCAGGCTTAGTACATTCTCCCATGGGAGAACTTACCCTGTTAGGAGGGGATGAGGTGGAGAGGCAGGGGGAAGCAGAAGAAGAGATGAGAAGAGAATCTGTAGTTGATATGTAAAATGAATTTTAAAAAAAGAAAAAGGGGTTCACAGAGGATAAGTCTATGATACACCAGATACTGGTGTGCATCATGTTAGGTACACAAATTGTAAGTATTGAGAAATTTCTCTAGCAATTTGACATTACAATAAAACTCAAATATCAAAGTTTACACTCTTCCAGGCCATCAGTCCATGAAGCCTGGGTGTGAACATAATTATTGCCATGGAGTGTATGCCACATGATCTAGATGCTTAAAGACTTCTCAAAGACAATATCACATAAGGGTACTTTGTTCATAATTCTATAAAAAGATTTATCATATTATATTGTAGTTTTAGTTTCCTTTAGAGAAAAAAACAGCATACATCTGGGCTCTGGATTCAGGACCCATGATTAAGCTCATGGTTTAGCCATGGACTGTCTATTATCAAAAAAGATACTGAAAACCTTGACCTTGTGATTTAATTTCTGTTTAAACAAATTAAAATGGTTAATTCAGTTAAGCTATAGGAATGAAATAAAGATCAGAATCGTGTATTTGGGAAGGATTGGGCAGGATAAGGGTGGACTGACCATAGACACAATCATGTCCTCATAGATAGGTGCTCCATTTGTGAATGCTCAATAAATACTAATAATATCCATGATTTTGTTCCTTCCTCTTATTCATAATAGTGACCAACTCATGAGATAAATTACTCAAAAACATTAATGAATACGAATAAGCAGAGGACATCACATTGCCATGTCCAAAAAACATTTCAAAATATACTATCACCCATTCAGTAATACATTACATTATTCACATCATTTTAGTGACCAAATAATGAAATTTCAAATGTGAACAGCACAGTTGCTCTCATGGAACTCTGTATGTTTAGTACTCAGTACAAATTTGATTCATTGATTAATTTCTCAATTACACAGCAACTCCTATATGGTTGAATCCTACATCTGTCTTCTCATCAGGGTATCTCAAGTTTTAGATTCAGAAAAAGCTATAAAATAAGTATTGTATGGAAACAGAGAATGTTCAACATCCTTAACCATGAGGGAAATGGAAATCAAAACTACTATGAGAGTCCATCTTACACCTCTCAGAATATCTAAAATCAAAATCACAAGTGACAGCTTATGCTGACAAGGATGTGGATCATGGAGAACACTCTTCGATTGGTGATGGGAGTACAAACTTGTAAAGCTACTATGGAAGTCAATATGGCAGTTCCTCAGAAAACTGGAAATCACTTACCTCAAGACCCAGCTATACCACTCTTGGGCATATACCCAAAGGATGTTCCATTATACCACAAGGACACTTGCTCATCCATGTTGATTGCAACTTTATTCATAATAGCAAAAAACTGGAATTAACCTAGATGTCCCTCAATTGTAGAATGGATAAAAAGATGAGTTACATTTATATAATGGAGTATTACTCAGATGTTAAAAAACAATGACATCATGAAATTTGCAGGCAAATGGATGGAAATAGAAAAATCATCCTGAATGAGGCCATCCAGACCCAAAAAGACAAACATGGCATGTACTCACTTATAACTGGGCATTAGGTGTTAGGTAAATGGTAATCATGCTACAATCCACAGACCCAGAGAGGCTAAGTAACCA